AAATCTAATGCTGCAACACAAATTTAAACACAACAGCAGCAACAGCAGCAGCAGCAGCAACTGGTGTTATTTGTGTTTATTTTCTTTCTTATATTAAATATAATAAAATAAAATAATAAATAAATATATAATAATAACAATTAAACACAAAAAAACTGCTGCTGCTGCTGCTGCTGCTGATAGAAAGATATGAGGCCCCAGGGGAGAAGCCGACTGCACAGGAGGCAGGGGGGGCCCTAAACCCTAAACCCTAAACCCTAAACCCCAAACCCTAAACCCTAAACCCTAAACCCTAGACCCTATGAAAGGGGCCCCTGTAGGAGGGGGGTGCTTTGGCGCTTAGAGATGCAGCAGCAGCAAACCCAGCAGCAGCAGCAGCAGCAGCAGCAGCAGCAGCAGCAGCAGCAGCAGACGCAGCACGAGATCTTAACGGAGCTATGGGGTGGAGCAGGCGGCCTGCAGGGGTATCTCCCCCTCACAAAGCCGCTGCAGCAGCAGCAGCAGCAGCAGCAGCAGCAGCAGCAGCAACATGAGGCCTCTGAAGACGACTACGATGCTGAGCAAGAAGTAGGCTGTGCATCTGCTTCCCTTTTTCTTTTTTTTTTGCGGTGTATATACACCCATCTATATATACACATATATATATATATATATATATATATATATATATATATATATATATATATATATATATATATATATGTTTTGTTATGCAGGCTGACTTTTATAATCTATCTCTTATTTTTCTAAGAGAGAGAAAAACGCAGCAGCTGCAGCAGCTGCAGCGACCCCTCAAGGAGTACACACAAACCCTAAACCCTAAACCCTAAACCCTAAACCCTCATATCTAACTAAGTATATATAAACCCTTCTATGATTCTTTTGTAGAGATGTTGCACGCTATAGGAACTCTAGGGTTTATGGTTTAGGGTTTAGGGTTTGGGGTTTAGGGTTTAGGGTTTAGGGTTTAGGGGGGTGTATGCTTCTCCCGCTTCAGCTGTTTTTT